CCTTTTCATTTTTCGATATTTCCATTGAATATCGGCAATTTGATGACCGGCAATTTAACTTGAAATTCTCGTGTCATACCCGGTTGTGTGCTCAATTGCTCGAGCATTTGCCTCTGTTGCTCCAACTTGTGACAGCGCATAGCTACCGCTGCTTTCGTTTGCTCGTTCTGCCAATTGTTGCATTATCATTGTTTGTTCTTCCAAAATTTGTACTAATGCATTTTTGCTTCCTCGTTTTTTAACGCTAAATGGAAAAGTTTTATACGGAGCTATCAATTTCTGATTGCATTGCAACAATGCTGTCTTTATTGTATAAAATATCTATCGTCAAATTCCTCTCCTTCTGCCGCGTCTCTCTATTGGTGTTCTTCTTCAGAAATTATTGTTATTATTATAATTGCTCCGCGATAGCCTGAAATCTTTCATACGATTCCTCTATGTTTTGGAGGCACGTCTCGACTTCCTTTTTCGTCGTATGTTCCAAATCATTGGCTACCCGTGTCAATCGAAATCATTTGCTAATGTTAATCTGCGGTTTAATTTTCCTCATTGTATCCGCAAATGATCCGTGTCATTCCGTTGGTTGAATCTTCGCCGATAGCTCATAATCGTCGATTTTCATTTCTTGCATCACAATTGCAGAAAACTTGACATTACATTTACTTGACTGTACTGATTATAAGTTAAAATGAATTATTATCACTTTATTATATGATTTCTTGCTTCGCAATCAATCTCGTCGTGCGCGGTTATAATGGTCATCATTCGATCCTTCTCGATGTTACTTCGTGTAAACCGCAAAATATTTGATAACAGTCAAAATGCTTTCTTTCTAATTTCTTCTACCCGAATATATATATGAACATGTGCAGACAGCCAATATAAGTTCTTTGATAGATCGCCGAACGTAAACCGCTTTGTCATTACATCGCACTGAATGTTACATTAGCAAATTCAGTTGAATCGCAAAGAGTCTATACAAGATCAAACTGAAAAATATTTAAAAAAGCTTTATAATACGATATATGGTATAACATAATCTTTACAATACCAGTAGAGTACCAAACATTCTAGTTGTAAAATCCCGAAGTTGGCATAACAACTTAAAATTCTATTTAATCAGAATGCATTTAATTATATATGTCGATATCAAAATGTAATCAAAGTTTTTCTCATGTACATACTAGAAAGAATAGACGATTTGTTACACGGTGCAATAAAAAAATCTTTTTTCTTTTGTTCGAAGTGTGATAGTACATTTCCCGAAAATTATTTTTCGCTACAGATGATGCCGTTGCTCAGCACGTCAAGATTTTAAGTTGAAGTAAAAACGGCCAAAAATGGCGTTTATGGCTGAACTTAACATTTTTTTGCAATAAAAAAAATTAAATTCTAAATAAATTAAACGGCATATGAAAGTATAATTCAAGAGTTTTTAGACGAACTTTGTTTTCCTTCCTTTACCTTTATAAAGACAATATAATATGATTTCTACAATGATTTTGTAAGAAAGTCATCAAAATGGCGCAAAGCAAAAAAAGTTAAACTTAGTAAGTTACTAAATTTTTAACAATCACTTTTATTAAAAATTTACATTAAGTATAATCGAATCTGTCATTAGAGTTTCAAAATTTTAAACGTTGCACTTTTCGGAATTTTTTTAAAAAACTAACCGTTAAAAAAATTTTTTAATTTTACATGCACATGCGGAGAGTGATATTCTACTTTTGAATCAATCATAGAATGTTTGTCCGCGTCACATGCTCCAAGCTTCAACATGATTCTACCACAGTTCCTATTCACTCCAACGAACGTTTGTTGAAGTGAGTTAAACCAGAAATTTAAGAACATCTCAGCCTTTTTCGTGTATCAAATGTCATAGCTTAATGTTCATGTTTTCGTGATTCTTTTCCATACTATTACGTAGATTAGACAAAGACAAATGATCAACTTTGATTGTGTAAGTAGTAAAAAAAAATACGGTGTGTGATTTTATGATTGATATTATAATCAGTCAAATGATAAAAATTAAGAATGTGAAATTAAAAAACACACAGAATGTACAAAAATTAAACACGCGTAATGTGGACTATAGATTTTCAGTACTTGCAATAAATAGAAAAACCTGCAGCAATAAAAACTTTCGCAATAAAATCGTCGCTTTTAGTCTCTTTGACAATAGTCTTTTCAGAATTGTGACGATAGTTAAATTTGACCAACGAATTCGTGCTCAGTACACAAAAATATATATTTATATCTTTAACAATTAATGTACAAATCACGAAATAATTTTTGTCGAATAAAATGTTTAGCATTGATTTATTTGATGTAGGAGTACATACACGTTTTATGAATAATGCAAGTATTAGGTTGAGTAAAAAGTCATCGCGTATTTTTTAGCTCAAAGTTGTATATACAATATCTTCGTCAATAATGAATGAAATTCAAATTTAAAAAAAGGGTTTTAAAGCTTGAAATCTCTACTTTTAAAAGCTTATCACATTTTTTAAGTTTATATGAGTTTGATAATTTTTACATACCAAAAACTACGAGCTGAAAAAGACGAAAAATTTTCTTCTCACTTTGTGGATTTGTAACGTGTCCAAAACGAATTTGAGAAAATTTTTGATTACCTATCGTGAAAGCTTGATACTTTCCCTACAAAATCGTTTTTTTTTAATATTCCTACGACTTTTGATTACTGAGTTATCGCGGATTAAATAAAAGAATTATTTTGACTTTAATTGCTCATAACTCCATTAAAAATTGTCGTATCGTATAATTTAAAAAAGAGATTTTTAAAGCTGAAACTTTACTCTATCAAGATATATTTATATTGTTGGTAAGAAAGTAATTGCTGTTTTTACTGATAGAGATGTCTTTTAAAAATACGCAATGACTTTTTACTACACCTAATATATAATATTACATTGTTAAATAAGATTTATAAAACTAACCAAAAGTTTAAACATCGCGTCCAGCTAATTTAGAAATTACCAATGTGATAATTAATATACAAAATACAATAATAATTGT